GCTCAACCATTGCCCTTGTTCCACGCGACATGTTGAGATACTCCTCTAGTGCTCTGTTGATAAACTCCATGGACCGACCCATCCACTGCAAATAAGAAAACAACATTTATAGAAATTACAATTTTTGGAAGTCGTATTAATAGTATACTAAAACACAATTACTTACGTAATCCGTGTTAGTCCTCTCAGGTAGACTGCTACTCTAAGCTGATGACCCCTCAGGAGATAGATGAGGATGAGAAAATCTGTACAACCATTGCATGTAATCAGGAGCAACCGTAGGAGCTCGACCACCAAGTCTAGTGAGGGCACCTAAAACAACACTGGAAGATGAACCAGGGACAAACCGAGTCCACATCACATATGTCATCTGGTCGGAAAGTCTACCCGATACATCTTCAAGTTCGTCGGTCTCTTGGCCTTCTCAAGCCTGATAATGGTCCTTGGAATATCCTGGACGAATTCAAGTTGTCGAACCACTCGATTAGGCATGTATGGCTCAATGATGCTACGGTACTAGATGCAGCCAATAAATAGAGTGGGTGGCATGTGTCGTGCAGGATCAACTCCGTACAGGAGCCAGTTAACCTCAAGGTCCGTCAGCTGATCCAATCTAGCACGAAAACCGAGGAGGCGCTCCATGCTCTTGTTAGGGCACCCCGGTCCAACATCCCACGCAGCCGCACAAGGAATACTAAGCTCCCTCATCAAGGTACCCTACTGAGGCCGAAAACATGGAAAGTACTCGTAGATCCACGCTTGCAGAAGCGTGAGACAACCAGCGATCGAATCAGCATCTTTTCGCGATGCCGTACCCAATTGCCAATACAGATAGACTAGAGTAGCTGAACCCCAAGAGTACTCATTGATCGGGAGATCATCAACAACAAGCTCGTGGAGGAAGGAAGGATGAGTGCGGTTACCACTCTTGTCCAAAAACAGTGCTCCGCCTAGTACTAACCACATGTAGGCACTATAAAGGACACTGAAGGGCCTCTGCACCTCCAAAGTCGTATCCAAAATCCTCTCGGTCAACACCCCACTATCCTGCCAAATGGTTTTAGTACCGCACTTCTCATTCAACTCTTCCGCAGTCATATCCATGGTAACCGAGCACGCGTCCCGTATGACGTCCGTGCTAGGAATAGTGGAAACCATGGAACCATCAACCCGAAGCCCAAGAATATGGTACACATCTTGCAGCATGACCGTGATCTCTCCAAATGGCATATGGAACGTGTTCGTATCTGGCTGCCATCTCTCAACAAAAGCAGAAATCAACGGCCAGTCAAAACACCTAAACTTGATCCCAGGTAAGTGAGACAGACCACTGCCATCAATCCAAGTGCTCCTGTGCAAGACGACCTCGCCAGTTCACCAATTCAGAACACAAATGTGTCCTGCTCAAACAGCGCAAAACATTACGCTCCTGCCCGCCCCATATATATGATGCCACGTGACCACTGAAACTAGGGATGACAGTACCATCCTCAAGACCACCTGGCATCGGCTGCTGGACTAACCATGTCTCTGCTGAGCTGGTAGAAGGTTGACTCGCTTGACTACTACTAGAAAATCTTCCATGCTGACCCTTATATACCGCATGATAATCTTTGAGGGTCATACTCTTCATCTCGATCAGCATGACTTGCCCGCTCTTCGTCCTCATCGTCAGATTTAGGCACTCCACCCGACGAGTACATGGGGAGGCTCCCTTGTGACTGATGCTCTCTCGACCAAGTATCATGAGACCCATATTGGTGCTCATGATGTAACGGTGCCCCCATAGCTACCGAACGACCCGACTCTCTCCTAACAGACGCATTCAAACGTCTTGATATAGCATGACGAGCACCCGAACCCTCAATCTACATTAAATAAGTACAAAATCAAATATCAATAATAATTACTATTATAATAATAATAATAATAATAATAATAATAATAATAATAATAATAATAATAATAATAATAACAACTAACAACAATAATAATAATAACAACAACAATAATAATAACAACAACTAACAACAATAATAATAATAACAACTACCAATAATAATAATAATAATAATAATAATAATAATAATAATAATAATAATAATAATGTTAGCAACAACAACAACAACAACAACAACAACAACAACAACAACAACAACAACAACAACAACAACAACAATAATAACAACAACAATAACAATAACAATAACAATAACAATAACAATAATAATACTAATAATAATACTAATAACAATAACAATAATAATAATGATAATAATACTAATAACAATAACAATGATAATAATAACAACAACAATTATAATAATAATAGTAATACTAATAACAATAACAATAATAATAATGATAATTATACTAATAACAATAACAACATAATAATAACAACAATGATAATAATAATAGTAATACTAATAATAATAACATTAATAATAATAATAATAATAATAATAATAATAATAATAATAATATTTCCGGAAAAAAAAAAAAAACTGGATAATTGGTATATCCGCCTAGAATTTCTGGATGTACCAAGGAGGATCCGAAAATTTCAGGCGGATCCTCCTAGGTACATGCGGAAAATTTAGACGGATGAAACAAGGAGGATCCGCCTGAAATTTCCAGATCCCCCATGAGACATCCGGAAATTTCAGGCGGATGTACCAAAATTCCGAAACTTTTTTTTTGTCCAATTTAAACTTTTTAATTTGTGTAATTACCTGTTCGCCGACTCCACTGCCACCGCCACGACCACCGTAAGTCACCCTGATTCGCCGCGAGTCCGCCATCGTCGGATTTCTTCTACCCTCCTTGGATTGGTGGTGGGTTGTGGGTGTTTGTGTTTTGAATTTTCTTTTTTTTTTTTTTTTTTGATTTTCAGATTTTTTTTTCAAATTTCTGATTTTTAGAATTTAGGAGTGATTTTTAGAGAGAGAAAGCATGAGCGTGAAATGTGTTGTAAGTATCGTGAGTATTTATATACGAGGGGTAAATACGAAATTTCATGGAAAAAATGCGAGTGACGCCTAGTAAAATGCGAGCGACATTTAACAACATCCAGAAATTTCTAGATTTCTTTAGGTGGATTTACCAGAGAAATTGTGTTATTGCACCGTCAATCTGTCATACAGTCATACTTAACATTAATCTCTTCTAAAATGAACGTAATTAATCTTGATCAAGACCAATCATGATTTGGGCTAAATAAATTTGGACCACACCCAACAGGTGCTAACATTTTTTGTGAGAAAACAATGTGAACTAATATGTGCACATGACACGACATAACACCGTGTCGCGCTTAGCCAATAAGTGTTTTGGAATAGTTAATGATGGGAAAGTACCACATAGATTTTGAGGCAAACTTTGTTTTGATGATTGAGCTATTAATACTGTAATAGGATCAAATTTAAAATTTGCTCTTAGCTAAAGTAGATTGAGGGGCTTTGGGCTCAGTATGTCTCATACATTAAAAAGTCTAACAAGAACGTAAAGCAATCGTATATGAGGATTAACTAACGTAAATGCCCAATTAAAGCTTAAATTCAGATTGAGTTCAAAAATAATTTTAAAAATAAATCTCCCGGAATCCAGGAGTCTAGGTCCACCAGGATTATGACATATTGTCATTGTATAATTACCTTTTTTATATCATTAATTATCGTTATTATTTTCAGTACCATTTATTATTTATTTCGAATAGCAATTAGAAACCCACGCAAACATGTTGACTATAGAGGACCGAAAGTCCGAAACATGGTCATTTTTAATGCCCAAAGTCTTTCCTCATTGAATACGACATAGGACCGTTACATCGTCTTTGGTCATTGTTTTCTTTTTAAAAATAAGTTCGCTAAATTATTTAAAGGAGTCTTTCTCAATTGTTTCAAGTATTACGGAGTACAAATTACAAATTAAACAAAACTACAACTTCTTAACATGAACTTGTCAATTTGGAAATTCAAGCATTTGCCTATGAACATGCTTTAGGCAATGCTAAATTTTACCTTTTCCATTGAATTTAAATTTGGAAACGAACGGATGGATAAAAAACATACTACCTCCATTTCATATTTTTTGCAATTTTGGAATATTTTATATCTCATAAATAATACCCCAAATTGCAAAAAACTTGAATGAAGGTAGTATAATTTTTGGCATACATATTAATGAGTTGAAAAAGACACAAGAGCTTTTATTAAGACCCATAGAAGAAATCAATTAAACAAAATTAAAAGTACAAAACAATAATCATCAATTCATCATCATCCCCATAGAGTGAAAGCTACTAATAAAAGAAAAGAGCGTACAACCAATCCCCATTGATTGCAAATCCTTATATGATCGCCTTTTCAATTTGTATCGTAAGTTGACTAATAGTTAGATCAGAGTAGGATATGTTGAGATTTGAACTCATAACATCATTGTCACCCCTGACTCTAATATCATGTTAATGGACTAACTTCCTCAAAAGGTCTAAAAACTTATTGTTGGTGGTTGTTATAGTCATATGATTGGTAATTACACTTTATCATATACTTCGTGTCATATACATCTTTATTGATTGGTATAAGCATATAATCACATACACCCACCACTTTAAGACAATCAAAACTAATTATTCAAACACATTAACTAAATTGATTGACACACATATTTAAGGAGATTGTTAAGCATCGATTTCATATTGGATGATACTAGATGAATCATTAATACAATTAAGTAGCATATAAAGAAGTTACACAAGTGTTAATCATATACAAGTTCAACCGACTTTTATCTCAAAATCACTCACATATTAATGTAAAGACAAACTTACATGCATGTGATTTTATTCTTAAAAAACCTCATCCCATCTAAACAGCTTGCATTAAAATCGGATCTTACAATCTATATGTAGGATCACAGTCACAATTAATACACCATGTTATATAAAATTTTCACTGATTTATTCACTTGAATCAAGCACTCATAATTAAGTTTAAGATTCGTAAGATATTATAAGATATTACATGCAACAAAAAATTAACATAATTCTAATTAACCGGTAAAGGGATACTATATAATGTAACTATATCTACTGATGTTTTTCCAACCACAACCATCTCAACTCGATCTTTAAGAGAGACAAAATGGGCGAAAGAGGAAGTTCATTGTTGGCGAAACTCATCTTGATCCTTAGTTTTGTAGTTGTAGCTCTTGGAAGTAATACCGTCACTAATCTAAAAGCCTTCTATTTGGTGCAGCAGGTACTTCAACTTAGATCTTTTGTTTTTTTTTGAAAGAAGGTACTTTAACTTAGATTGTTTTCATTTCGATTTCTACTACTTGTATAGTTTTTAAATAGGGTTCGGTCTAGTAGGGTAATTCATCGAACCTAAAAGTAATAAATGTAGTAGCCATATGAATTTGGTTTATTTTTTGCAGTGGTTGGGATCATACTGTAATCAAGCGGGAACAAAATGTTGCTACCCTCCATCAGGGAAACCTAGTCCGGATTTTACTATTGATGGACTATGGCCTTACTCTGGTGATGGAAATTTCGCCTACAATTGTGGCAACGACAACTATGACGTTGGTCGGGTATGAACACATATTCAGTGTATTTTGAATCAAATTTTTTGTAATTTTCATTATTAAAACATTGCTTCAACCATCATCAATAACGTTTTATACGTTAAATAATTATAGTCACATGAGATCGATCTTATTAGATTTATCTTGATACATACTAATAAATTAATAAATTATAATACTATAATCAAGTACTATATATATTTTTTATAAAAAGATAACTAAATACGGAGTATATTAATGATATAGAATGTGTAATCGTAATCGTAAAACTCTAGATTTTACAATATTAGAAATGGACAAAAGGAAATATTTATAGTACACAACCTTTTGTTAGACCATGCTATGTGATAAGATTGGTTTTGATATATCGCTACAATTTCAGCTTAACTTTGTATTGACTTTAAGTAATTACTAAGTACTCATTTTAATCTTTTATGTTTAATCACTAGTGTTGTAGATTTACTATTTGAAACTAAATATTTCATCAGTGTAGATCCATTGTATAAATGTGACATTTATATAAGTTGAAGAGACCAAGACCTTAATCCATGTCACTAATACAGTACTCCATATATGCAGATAAAATTCTTGCAGGATGAGCTACGAAAATCGTGGCCATCCTTCACATGCCCACAAATCGGAAGGAAGTTTTGGGTGCATGAATGGAACAAGCACGGAACATGCACTAAATCAATCCTAGGTGAGATCCCTTACTTGCAAGCCGCTTTGAACCTCAAGAACAAGGCCAACATCTACCAAGCCCTAGCGAAAGCCGGTATTACACCAGGCAACAAGTTTTACTCTCTAGATGTTATTAAGAAGGTTCTAGCTCGATCTATCGGGTTTAATCCATGGGTTAGGTGTAACAAAAATGCTCAAGGACATGACCAGATTTGGCAAGTCACATTTTGCGCTGATATAACTGGGAAAAACCTCGTCGAATGCCCTTACATTCCTTCCGGAGTTGACGATTGTGAATCTCAAATCCAGTACCCTATATATTACCAATAGTTTAGTACTAAGCTAGAATATTTATTGAGCTCCTTTACTTGTATTTTTAACTTTATGATTACGTTTTTCCTTGCACCTTTTAAATAAACATCTATTATCATATTTGCTGATCTTTATTGTACTCAATCTAGTATTGTGAATAGTTTAATCTGGTCAATGTAGTGAGTTAGTGATATCGAATCATCTTAGCTAGTTAATTTGTGTGATCCAATCCTTTTAATTATGTTTACTTTATTCTTAGATTGTTGATTGGTTGGAACATAAGGAATATGAGAGTCAATTGGAAATAAAATTGAAACGATCAGTTTTATAAAATGGATTTTATTTTATCTTATTTTTGGTTTGGTTAAAATTATAACAAGATATTTTTTTGTAAAATACAATTTTTAGAATTTTTCTTTTTAACAAAATAAATATCTTTTCTGAATTGACAAGTGAGTCTCCTCTTCTCTCCCCCTCTCTTCTAGGGTTTCTCCAAAATCTTGGTCGTTTAGGCCAAAAATAGTCTAATTTCTTCGGAAATTAGACTATTTCGGACCCTTTTCCCTTAATTTTATTTAGTTTTGCGATTTAGGTTTCAATAAATCTACACAAAACTATAAATATTCGTCCGTCTCCCTATGGTGGAGTCGTGAGTTTTTGTTAGTTTAGTTATTTGCTTATGTTTAGGGTTTGTTTGTGTGTTAGGGTTTATCAAAAAGGTAATCATCTTTTGCCCAATTGTCAGATCTTTGGTAAAGATTTGTTCGGGATAGCAACGGTTGTTAGGTTTTCAAATGTGTTCAAGCGAATCAGATGAGAATCATCTTTACGATTACAACAAATCGTTAGAGCGTCTCTCCGAAAAGGCTGCATATTCCAGCGATGTGTGCGAGAGATGTACCACAGTGCAAGATCTTTTCAACGACCGTAACTTTGATGAAGGAAATCCTAATTTGATTCAATTTTATGTATTTGTTAATTTAGATTTCATTTGTAGATGTCAGATGGCTTTTTATTAATGAATTGACTTGTTTAAAAAAAATAAAAAAATAAATATCTTTTATGTAAAAAGATTTTAATTGATTCCTTTAATTACTCTCCAAGAAAAAGAATTATTCAAACTCTCTACCCACGTTCTATGAACGACTCTTCCTGACTTCTCTCTGTTGCTTGAGTTAGTTCCTAATTTTTAGGAACACCACCTCAAGTAGTGGAGAATGTGGGGAAGGTGGTTGGGATGTTGAATCAGTATAAAAAGGGAGTTGAGTTTCAGTTTTAAGGCACCTGACAATCGTACAATATTTGAGTAACAAAAATATATTTGTATCAGTGAGAGTATTCCTTTGTTCCAACTAGTAAGATTATCTAAACACGTAGAGTTCAAATTACTGAGTTGTAATTTGGGAAAGGGTTGAGTGATCCTTGTAAAGGCTTAGTGATAAGTCTTGGGTGTAGGCTTCAGAGTAGAAGCTAGAGTGAGCATTTGGGGTTGGCTTAGGTTCTTATTGGAACTTAAGTTTTGTCGAGTTTCTTATAAGTTGTAACGGAGTAGTTGCCCTATTTAGTGAAGTCGTGTTCGAAAATCCCAAGTAGTCGTGGTTTTTCTCCTTGTTGGGCACAAAGAGTTTCTAAGTAAAAATCACTTTACATCTCTTTATTTCGTTCTACGTTTTTAATTTCCACAAAATTTAGGAACATTAGTACCTACACAATTCACCCCCCTCTTGTGTGTTCCATTTGAGTTAACATAGATCATATAGTAGTCAATGATAAATACTTGTCGATTTCCCCTTAAAAGCGGGGGCTAAAAATGTCAATCATGATAATAACTTTGCACATTCAAAAATTGGTCCCATAATTAATTGAAAAAATAACGAATGATGCGCTTAATCCTCAATGTCGCGTGCAGGGTCCAAAGCCGCGCAAGCCTTAGGGTTGGGAGCGTAGAGTACCTCTTTTCAAGCACTACCTCGTTTTTTACGTTTAGGTTTGCGCCCATGCTAATGCTCTGCATGTAAGGATTTATTTGATTATGTGGTCGCTGAACTCGGCCATTTAACATTATAAATGACAACACCTACATTTTAATGATTTAAAGACCATATGATGAGAAGAGAGATTGTGAAAAATGATGTAGAGCAATTCAAGATTAAATTAGTTCCATATTTAAACAAGCAAGCATACCAAAAACACATATATCCAGTCCTTACTTTCATTCATCCACAATTGTAATCATGATAAAGTAATTACCTTCTCATTTTTTGTGGCAAGTTGACCAATGCCAATGATCCTTTCCCAACTCACACTCGATCTCATGTGTTTAAAAGGTATCCATGACGCCATTCCTATGTCTGTTGACTCAAAAATGGTAACATATACTTCAGAGTCATAATTAAGGAACTTCAAAGGGTAAGGTAGGGTTGACAATTTTGCAGTAATCTTAAAATTCTAGACAGTGTTTACATTTAATAGAACTCCAAATATCTTTTTGTGCCCTTTTTTTTTTATTTATTTATGATTGTATTTATAAAATTAAATAATTATATGTTTCTGAAAGTTCAACTCTCTTGAGTTTTAATTTGCGCAATCTTCAATATATATATTTAACTACATGTATAAGTGAAAATTATAAACAAAAAATCAATTAAAATAAAAATAAAAAAGAAGAAGTTTAATATATTGAGATGAACCTAATAAGATCCTTATGCTCAATTTATTTTCTTTTATATTGATATTAAAAGAGGTACAATTCAACCAATATTATTTCATTGGGAGTACATATTTCATTCGTTTTTATTGGTTAGAATCGCCTATTTCCACCAATGTTAAGTTTTAAGTTGAAATCAATTAATCAAACGCATTAACTAAACTAGTAGACACGCAATATGAATCCTAATAGCCGGATCTTGATATTAGTATCAAGATGGTTGAGCATCCATCTCAAATTGCTTAGCTTGTACAAGTACTAGATAACTAATAACATATATTTTAGCTCATACTTGTATAAGTGTTTAATCATATACAAAATCAACCGACTTTTATTTAAATAAATTATTCACATATTAATGATAAGAAAGACAAACTTACATGTGAGTTTATTCTTAATAATTAACATCCTCCCTTCTAAACAACTTGCTTGCATTAAAATCGGATCTTGCTATTCATTTGTATAATACGCCCAGATCACAGTTACACTAAATACTCCCATGTTATAATATCGTAACTGATTTACACTTTTCAATCAAGCAATCATAATAAGCTTTATATTCATAAGATATTATAAGATAGTTAATGCAACACAAAAATAAACATATTTTTAAACGCGTAACAAAATAACTATATAATGGAACTATATCTACTGATGTATTTCTAACCATTAGAATCCCAACCTTGTAAGAGATCAAAAGAGAACAATGGGCGAAAGAGGAAGCTCATTGTTGGCAAAACTCGTCTTGATCCTTAGTTTTGCGGTTGTAGCTCTTGGAAGTAATACCGTTACTAATCTAAAAGCCTTCTATTTGGTGCAGCAGGTACTATTTCTTGTTTTCATTTCGATTTTCACAAATGCTAGGTCATTCGTCGAACCTAAACGTTATATAGTACAACAAGTCTTATGTGTGACTAGTCACATAGTGCATGTGACAACATTTGTTAATAAAAGTAATATTTATTCATTTATATAAGTAGCCCCATTTATTCATTATGATAACCTTATTTTATTTATACTAGTAACCCAAATTCATTATCCATGTAACATCAATTAATTTCAAAAATAGTAGGAGTGACCCCATTTGTACATTTGACTATTTGAGTAACCCTTTTTTCTTGTTTTAATCATTAAAAGAATAACTGCACTTGTTTATAATAATAATCACTTTTTTCCATTAGAGTAACCCTCATCTATCCAGATAACCCTATTTATTCATCGCTTAAACCCCCATTACACAATTAATTACCCTAGGTTAACTATATATATAAAGTGACTACATCATGTGGCTGGCCACATAAAAATGTAAGAGTTTGTGAAAGTCATAAATGTAGTAACAATATGATTTTGGTCTCTTACAGTGGCTAGGATCGTACTGTAATCAAGCGGATACAAAATGCTGCTACCCTCCATCAGGGAAACCAAGTCCTGATTTTACTATTGATGGGCTATGGCCTTACTCTGGTGATGGAAACTTCGCCTACAATTGTGGTGACGACAACTATGATGTTGGTCGGGTATGATCTCATGTTTACTTCGTTCTTTTTTAATTGCAAAAGTTTAAATTTTTTTACTATTAACACATTCCTTTGACCATGTTTATTGACCATTTATACTATAGGAAAAATGTGTTCGATCATGAGAGATCTTGTTAGATTCAGTTCGATATATACTTACAAAATAATATCTTATTTTAATAACTAGTGTTGTATTGTTTGAACCTAATAGTGTTCAATTATTGTGATCGTCCATTATATATTTGATACTTATTTCAATAAGTTGAAGAGATCAAGGCCTTAATTAATCTGCATCATCAATTAATACAATATTGCTATGTAGATAAAATTCTTGCAGGACGAGCTACGAAAATCGTGGCCATCCTTCACATGCCCACAAATCGGGAGGAAGTTTTGGGTGCATGAATGGAACAAGCACGGAACATGCACTAAATCAATTTTAGGAGAGATCCCTTACTTGGAAGCCGCTTTGAACCTCAAGAAGCAAGCCAACATCTACCAAGCCCTTGCAAAAGCCGGTATTACACCGGGCAACAAGTTTTACTCTCTTAAGGACATCAAGAGGGCTCTAGCTCGATCCATCGGGTTTCACCCATGGGTTAGGTGTAATCACAATGCTCAAGGACATAGCCAAATTTGGCAAGTCTCATTTTGTGCAGACAAAACCGGGACGCACCTTATTGAATGCCCTTTCATTCCTGCGGGACGTAACGATTGTGCATCTCATATCCAGTTACCCCCCTACTATTAATTGTACAATACGTACCAAGCTAAGCTAGGATATTTATTGTGCTCACTTACTTGCATTAGAGCTCTTTGATTATTATGTTTTTCCATGCACCTTTCAAATAAACTTCAATTATCATAATTTGTTGATCATTGTACTCAATCCGGTATTGTGAATAATTCAATCCGGTCAATTTATGTGATATTGTCTTTGCTAGTCAATTTAATCATGTGACGGTCTTTGTTAGTCCGTTTAATTATGTGATATGGAGTAATTTATATACTCCCTTCATTTTTAAATACTTGTTCTATTTCTTCATGCACGGAGTTTTAGGAGAAATTAGATAAAGTAATAAAATATAGAGGTAATGGGGTTAGTGGAAGAATAAAAAATGGTAAAAAACAAAACTAGTTGAGATAATTGGAGGAGAGAGAATATGAAATTAATAAAATATGGTTGATGTTAGGTCCACTAGATGAGAAAAATGAATTAAATATTGTAAAAACTTTTCAAATAAGGAAATGAAACAAGTATTTAAAAACGACCGGAAATAAAAAGTGAAACAAGTATTTAAAAACAGATGGAGAAATTGATATTGTCTTCGCTAGTCAATTTTATGTGATTCAAATGGTCATTTAGTTTTATTTTATTGTTAGTTCTTATTATAACAGTCCATTACCCAATGCCTTTCCCATAAACTAACGGCAACACCTACTTTAAATGAACGTAGTGTGATGAAAAGAGAGATCGAGAAAAATGATGTAAATGCTCACGTGATAATATGAGATAGTACTTGCAATTAATAGAAACGTTGATTAAAAAAAATTTGTGTGCACTTGTTAAAAAATTAATTTTAATGTGCATGCACTTGGTGCACACTTACAGACGTACTTAGCTAACATATGCCAAATGGGCTGGACTTTGATACGGATCAGACTGTGGACTGGCATTGATGGGCTTCTTTGGATAGGCCCAAATGGCTAAGCTATTTCTGCACACAAACTAAGCCAATATATATACGAAGTATGTACTCATCTTCGACGTTCTATAAACACAAAAAAGTATGTTACAAGTTCATGTAACCTTGACTACACATGTATGAGAGAAAATAGGAACTCTAAAAAGACCTTCACAGAATCACATATTCGCAGGTCAACAACCAACAAATACTCTAAGATCATGAAGTAAAGATTGCCACTATTTAATCTCAACTTTCGATTTTTAGAAAAAGAATCTTAGATGATAGTAACTCATTTGTGATGCCAAGACATCCATGAAATCATGAATTCTAAACAAACTAGAATACGGAAAATACATTAAGTCAAATGCTGAAACATTACTGAAGACTTCGCAGCACAGGATACCCGACCGTGTAATTATAACCAACATGGTCGTGTGCTAAACACCGCGTCTCACCCTTATACTACACGGTTCTATGTAGCTTGGGACTTTGGGTATATAGCCTTGTTGGTCTCTACTCCACTTTTCAGCCATTTATCTTTTCCTTTATTTAGATTGTAGCTTGGCTTCTCCATAAATCCAAACGTAACTCGAACCCACGTGGCATGTGTTCCAACCCTACTATCGGGTTGGGCATATTGGGGTCGTAACTAATTACACAACCATAGTTTTTCAAGGTTGTTTCGATTCACGATTATTTGATAGTGAATGAAACACTAAACGTGTACAAATGTACAATTACAACTTCTACTTAAGGTAAAAAACAAATTTCTATAATTTCATATATGGACAAGTTATATAATCTCAGGAGATCATGAAGTAATTAATGCTAAGTGGTTTTCAAAAAAAAAAAAAAAAGTAATTAATGCTAAGTACCCAAAATGGATTTGCTTTTATTAATGGAAGATCTTTTTTAATGTTGAACACTTCTACGACTACATATATATAGTGGTTACCTACCCAATATTTCGTTCATTTTAAGCTTAATTTGTTTCATAAATAAATTATCATTACTCTAAGAAATTATCAATGGCGAAACGCGGGGACTTACTAATAATGATCAAGCTTGTGCTAAGTTTAGCAGTTCTAGCTCTTGGTGATCACACTAGCAATGATTTTAGTGAATTCTACTTTATTCAACAGGTGAATATTTATTTATACGAAGTTTTTTTTTTGTCTTTCATACAACTCGTATGGACCTAGTCCGCATAAATTTGTTTATAAAGCTATATATGGTCTCAACATTTACAAATTTTTTTATAAAATTGGTTCTTAATCAAACAAAAAAAGAAGATCTAACAAATACAGAGTTTAAGGGGATAGGGAATAAAATGTCATAGTGATTACAATCAAAGATAACGTGATGATCAACCAAAAGTATAAACCGATAATAATTATATGAGTGCACATCAAACTTGTCGTAAACAAGTTTGACAGAAGGCTAATCGTTTTCTTTATTTCTTCCGCAAAAGATTTTTAATTATGGATTGTAAATCAATCGAATTTTAGACTTGTGAAACTTTTTTCTCCATTAAAAAACAGTGGTTACCATCATACTGTAACCAAAAAGGAACAAGTTGTTGCTACCCACCAACAGAAGTGCATGTAACAGATTTTACAATTGGTGGGCTTTGGCCTTGTCAAAATGACGGAAGCGCCCTTGAAAACTGCCCTGGTGCAACTTTTGACGAGACTGTGGTACGTATTAGTGTAACCAATTTCACATTCTTTATTTTGTATTTGTGTGTGTAGTTATAGTTTTTTGTATTGATTTTGCTAAGAATTTAAAACCAACATTCCCAATAAAAATTAAATTATAGATAAACTCAAGAAAATAAACCATAATAGTAATGATACTATGTTAAATTACTAATTAAGTGCTGATCATTTTTTGTCATCATTTTTTTTTCATTAGTTGATACGAGTATATGAAAGCATCAATTTTATATAATCGGTCATTCTTTGAAGTTATCCTCTATATAGTAATAATGATGCTCATACTTCACTATCTTTTGATTACATTGTGAGGGATGTTTGATAATAAATACTCTGTAGCAGACAAAGATTGAGAGATAATATAAAATAAAATTCATGTGATTAACAGAGAGATAGATTGAGAATCAACTCAGTCAAATATAATAATGTTATAAGTATAAACTCAATACATTTTGCTTAGTAAATTAAACGTAAAACTAAATAATTTTGCCATTAAATGCAGATTAAACCCGTAGAGGATATGCTACGAAAGGAATGGCCACCATTTACATGCCCACAAATTGGAAAGAAATATTGGCAACATGAATGGAACAAGCATGGAACTTGCGCAAAATCTGTCCTAGACGAAATGGCATATTTTCATGTCACTCTAAACCTCAATAACAAGATCAACATCATCCAAGCTCTCGCGAAAGCAGGGATCCAACCCAATAACCAAAACTATTCGCTTGAAAGTATAAACGCGGCCATCTCTCAAGCCACCGGATTTCACCCTATGGTTTTCTGTAACCATGATGCTCAAGGGAATAATCAGATTTGGCAAGTTGTTCATTGTGTTGATAAAACTGGGACAAATATTATCAACTGCTCCAACACTCTTAAGGGGCTAGGAAATTGTTACTCTACCATTAAATTTCCTTCTGCTTAATTAATTCTTATGTTCGTTACTATCTTATATGAATAAATCACTTAAGGGTCATTTGGTTGGATCATTTCAAATGGGTTGGAATGGAATTAGAATCCATCCATCTAGTTTTTTGTTTGGTTGAGGATTTTAGTAATGGAATCTCATACCTAATTGGTTCTAACTCTCCTCCATACCCATGGAATCCCATACCCACCCCTCCCTAAGATTCACAATCCATTCTTTTAATGAAGGATAGAATTCATTCCAACTATAAAACCAAACAACTTTGGACTAATATGGGTTTCAGAATCCATACCTCTATAGTATGAGATTGCATACCAATCCATTCCAACTTGATGAACCAAACACCCCCTTAATGAATATTTCAAATAATGTAGAATATGAGGTCTTGTGCCTAATCAATGTGTTTGTTTTTTTGAGCTAGATGAATGCATGATCCATCAGTGGCTAAGCTACTTTAATTTAACCAAAAATTAAAATACTTTAGGAATTGAATATTAATTTCATATTTTTCCTAACTAATGTAGATGATTTTGATTCAATTCCTTTTAAATTACCCTCAAAAGGTTTTTTTCCAGAAACACGTGAAGGGAAACTGGTATAAATACATTCTTCTTACAAATGTGTATGTGATGGACTACATATATGAGGATGTTATTTATTTGGATCAATTTAATTTGGAAGGATTTTATACTTAGAAAACCAAAGGGATGAACATGAGGAATGAGAAAAGTACGCGTTCAGTGCACAAGGAGCATATATATATAACTCTATAACAGTGCTATAACAACGTAAAAGACTTTACAAAGGATGATGTAATTTTTTTATCGTAGTATATTTGAGTGTCAAGTTAAGGCATTCATGTATGGTGAGGCACGCACTATAATGATCGGTCATATGAAGTATATACTATGTAGATAGTTACTATTTTCAATTGGTCAAAACCGAAACTTTTCAAGCATGTGTACAATATTCAAATCAGATCTTCTTGTTTTTTGGATACCAACTAGACCTAGCCATCTAATAATCGATTACATTGATTCAAGGACGCTAAACTAATGAACATAACAACAACTGATACTAAAGTTTATGTGAGGAATTACATTCTTTTTAGCTTCCTGAAACATCTTATCCGAATTGAATAAGTAAACAAACCCAAGCAAGTTTTCTAGGATTCAAATTGATTCAAGGAAAACAATGAAAAAGTAATGAAAATTAAACCTTACTAATTGAATTGACAAAGCAAATCTAAGCGCTCAACAACGATTTCGTGGTATGCAAATGTGACCACTGACATGCCAAGTTTCACCTTCATCATCATGCACATGATTTTTCAATCCGTAATTATTTCTTGTGAAGAATGTATGTGCTCCACACTTGACTAAAGACGTGACTTGAGAAATTTGTCCAAATAGCTGTGGAATTTTCATAAGCCGTTACCTAGTGTGTGTTATGCACTTAAAATGATCGACCTTTTCATTTGTATGTATGTCATGACGCTCTATCTAAAAAAAAAAAAAAGAGAGCGTCAAATCTATTTGTAGAAACTAAGAAAGAAATCGAAAGGGTTTCACATTTAAAATTGAACTTTTCATCATTTATAAAGTACTGTATAATTATTAGTGATATAAACTAAAAATAGCAAGTTATTAGTG